CCCGACGAGTGGGTCGCCTAGAGCCCCTGCATCACCGCGCGCGCGGCGCCGCCGACTGCCCTCCACCAGGGCTCTCTCGACACGGCCGCCAGGGCCCCGTCGAGCGTCAGCAGCTTCGCGAGGCCCTCGCGAATCACGCAGAACGCGCCCCCGTTGACCTGCGGGAGTTGGTCGAAGCTCGAAGCCTCCACTCAGCACGAGGAAGCGGCCCGGCGTCGGCAAGAACGACATCAGGCCGACCGCGTACACGCGAAACCCCTTCGAGGGGTGACGGCCGGTCGTGAACACGGCGCTGCTGCGAGGGCAGATCGGGCGCCGCGCCCGATGATACATCTTGCAGACCGGACGATCGCCGGCCGCGTTGGCCCGACTGCCCTGCCCCTGCCCGCCAGCCGCCGCCGGGTTCCAGCGAAAAGCCGCCGCCTCGGTGATCACGCCATCCGACAGCGCTACCTTCTCGACAGAGCCCGAAAGATGGCTGTCGCCGCCGCCCAGCGCGTGGTCGCCCGAGAGCTTGGCGTCGCCGACGGTCGCTGAGCGGCGGAGGTCCACGTTGGCCTTCTCGAGCACGACGTCGAGCGCGCCTACTACTACTACTACTACTACTACTACTACTACTACTACTGCTACTGCTACTGCTACTGCTACTGCTACTGCTACTGCTACTGCTACTACTACTACTACTACTACTACTACTACTACTACTACTAGTAACTACTACGATTACTACCTACTACTACTACTACTACTACTACTACTACTACTACTACTACTACTACTACTGCTACGACTAGTACTACTACTACTACTACTACTACTACTGCTGCTGCTACTACTACTACTACTACTACTACTACCACTACTACCACTACTATCACTACTACCACTACCACCACCACTACTACTACAACTACTACTACGACTACTACGACTACCACCACGACTATTCCTACAACTACTACTACTTGATTTTTCTCTCGAGCAGGCGGGACGTCTGCAGGGCAAGGCCGAAGCCACGCGGGCGGACAAGCCGACGCGCGCGCGGGGTGCAGTCAAGCGCAGCCGGGGGAGTCGGCGGTGGGAGCATCAAAATCGGCCGGCGCGTCCGGCGCGCAGCCGCGGCGCGCGCGCCTGCAAGCCTGCCGGCGTGACAGTCGCTCCCGCGCATGCCTCCCATGTGCGCAGGGGGCCCGACACAGGACGGCACTTGTCCCGTCCGGCACAACCTTGAGCGACGGGCCTGCGCGGACCTGCGCGCTGGCCACTGGCGCCGCCCTTCCCCGGGCACGTCGACGCGAAGGGCCCCTGCGCGCTCAGGGTTACCGGGCGCGCGCGGGGGTCTAGCGGTGGCCCTTGCGATCATCGGTGGCCACGCGGGCGTCGTGCACGCGCGTGCCCCCGCGCGCCGCGCTCCGCCGCACGTCAGTGGCGCGCCCGGATGCGGCGCGACGCCGGCGCTGGCTCGCCCCCTGCGTCGGGGCGCTCGCGGCGACCGTCGCCGCGGGGAGGGGCGCGCGCCTGCGCGGAGGGCCGCGGCGGGCCGGCCCAAGGAACGCCTGTCGGCGGCACCCCGGCAGCCGATCACCGCGGCGCGGAGCCCGGAGGCACGCCCGGGGCGCCTGGCGCGCCGTGCGCACCCAGGGGCAGCAGCGAGGGAGCGGCGATCGCTGGACTCGGCGCTCCCGCGTCGGGCCCCGCGCCCGGCAGCTGACGGCGGCGCCGCGCCGCGCGTCGCTGGCGCACGCCGCAATGCTGCTGCCACCCCCGCGTCGTGGGCGAGCGCGCGGGCGACGCCGCGCGATGTCCCGCTCGGCGGCGCGAAGGGCGACGCACCCAGCGGCGGCGCGGCCAGGCGGCCGCCGCCGAGCGCCCCGGCAGTGGGGGCGGAGCGAGGGGCGCTCGGCGGCGGGCGCAGGGTCGCCGGCGCCGCGCTCGGGAACGCGTAGCCTGGGACGGTCAGCCCGTCTGCGCCGCCACGCGCGGGGGGCATGGCCGTCGCGGCGGGGCCGGCGCCCGCGGCGCTGAGCCTGGCCGTCTGCAGCGCGAGGCGGTGCGCTGCCTGGGCCCCCGTTGCCGCGGCGGACGCGCCATCGCGCCCATCCGCGGGCGCGCCGCGCGGCGCAACCGGGAGGGTGACACCGCGCAGCTCGGCCAGCAGCGCGGCCTGGCAGCGCGGCGCGTGGACGCCGCTCAGCGGCAAGCCCGCGGC